GTTGTCAACCACCCGCAGAAGTCCGAACACCACTCACACCCCCCACCCTCACCCACGAAGGTCTGGTCAGGCTGACTGCAGACAGCCCGGGTCAGAGAAGCTAGGAGTGAGCCTTGTGAATGCTCGAGGGTCTGTGCCCGAAGGCAAGGTGTGAACAGCACTGTTATGCCTGGCTAAAGACAGAAACACTGTGGTGAGGCTCTACCACGCCAGATTTATATATATATGGAGTTTCATGAAACAAACCGCTTTTAAATACTACTCATCTTCCTTCCTTCCTCCCCAAAATCCGTCCCCACCCCCCAGGAGCCCGCCCGTTCTTAATAGTATTCCAGTTTCTTTGATTTCCAGAGCTCAGGGTGAAGCTCTACCTAGCCAAGCCCCCCTAGGGGGGAGGGCGGTGTGAGAAGGAGGCAGCAGGGACTTTCTTCTGGGGTGCAAGACCCGGGCACAGCAAAGCCGGGGACAGGGTTAAGTTCTGGGCGGCCAAGGAGAAGTCGCCACTTGCTCTGGCTGCAGCGGCGAAGACTTCAGACACGGAGCAGTTAATATTGAGTTCCCTGTAGCTCCTTGTAAATCTAACCCAGCCTCTCGCCCCCCTTTAAATCTGTGGTCTTGTTCGCGATTTCTTACTTGACGTAAAATTCCTTGTTACCTAATCATAGACTCTTTTTCAAAAGACTCCCCTCCCCCACCGCCACCACGCCGATGAGAATCTTCCGAGCTGGACCCCTCCTCTCCTTTTTTCTCTCTCTTAAAAAGAAAAAAAGAACTTGGATGAAAGCCCTATATTTTGAACTAAACGCCCCAGACTATTTCCTGTGGCTGTAATAAGGCCTGGGATACTCCTCACACCTCCTCCACAGAAGAAACGCGCTCCCCAGACACAAAACGAAGCACCAGGCACAGGGCTTCCGACCGATGCCTATAAAACCAGGGCACCCTGCCCCCTCCTGCACCAAGCACAGACCCTTCTCCCAAACAGGCACTCCTGAAGACCGCGCAAAGGTCTCCTGGGAAAGAGACGGCACGGGGTAGGAGCCCGGGCCTTTGGTCAGGGTTTTCACCAGGACATTCCACTTTAATAAAATCACTCCTTCATGGAGGCAGCCTCAGATCATACTGATTGATTAGAACCACTGACTCTTTCAAATGAAGCTGGAGGCAATTACGATAATTTAGTTTACTTCTGAATATTTTAAATATTATGAAAACAAGTATAACAGCTTCGCTTTCAAAGTTCTTTTGCGGTATCACCCATATAAAGATTAGGGCTTTTTTTGTAAAAAAACACACAGTGGTTTATTGAATACTCACAGCGTTTACACCTTCAATATTAATTAGATTCCACTTAGTTTTAGAGGACAGGAGTGCACAAAACAAGTGGCTGATGGAAACATCTTCGAGTAGGGGACAAAACATTTGACATGACAGCACTGAATAACTGACCCCAACAGAAATGTTAGCGGCCCTGCTTTCTGCTTTGAAATAAAACTTTATAACCCCCAGGAATATTTATATCCAAAGGCCGAGTAAAAAGATACACTTCACACACGCACTAGTGTCCACTTCTTTATCTGGAGGGAGTTGGGTAAGTGGGGGAGGGGACAAGGCTGATGCCTACACAGGGAACATTCACGCACAGAGAATGACGGGATCCCTTACCACACGGGAGTGTCCTCTTCATATTAAAATATGGAATGCTTTTCTTCAAATATCCACTTTTTTTGGAGAGGGAGGTGGGGAGCAGATGCCTCAAGGGGGGCAAGAAGAGGGGGGAAGGAAATTGCACATAAATAAACCGGATGATCCAACTGCAAGAAGTCCTCAGAAGGGAGCCCGATTGCTTTCGGGGGAGTCCTGGGTTTGCATCTGGTGCCTTGGCCCCGGGTTCCCTAGCTCCCTTGCTGCTCATCACTGCTTGAGTTCCAGGGCCCAGACGTGTTGCGGCCAGCCTGTCCGGCCTTTGGTTTTCTTGTCGTTGCTGCTCACTGTACTTTTCAAGATTTCGTTCTAAACAGAAAGAGGGGCGAAGGGGAGAGAAATGGAAAGAGAAGATCAGAGAGGATACCTAGCCCTTTGTACCTCAGGACACAGCCTGAATACAAGAGGGACCGCTTAGAAATGGCCCCGGGTACCGACCCCTGCAGAAGCTATGCAGGTTTCCAGTGTTTTAACTATCCCGGAGGCCTCCCCTAGCAACCCACAAGGACACAGCCAGTCAGGTTATAAACAATGGCCAACTTTCTAGTCGTTTACAGGGAAGCTCGAGGTCTTATTTTCCCTTTGACTCTTATTGTAGGAGAGGAGGCAGAGGCCGGTACTAAATCTGCCTTGAGTTTTCAATGGCGATCCCACATCCAACGGACCCCCTGTTCTGGCCTGGGCCTCTCCCACCAGCCAGCAGAGGTCCAGTGCCCCCAGCAACGCAGTTCTTCTCCAAGGCCCTGGAAAGCTCTGGTTCTTGGGAAGGTCATTCCATTGCGCAGCAATCAGAGGGCTGCAAGCCACAGAGGAGAAAATCTCCACAAATGGAATTGTTTCCTAGGTTCTTTCAGGCCGACCCAAGCACCACCACTTCCCAGGCAACTGGTAATATCCTGAGAACACTTTAAATGTCCCGGCATAACTTCAGGTATTAGAGCTAATAACAATGACCATAATGTCTACCTTAAAAAAACAAAACCCTTAAAACGCACAAGCTCATCCAAACAAAATAAGAAAACACTCGGGACGAATAGCACTTGGGAAATTTTGCTTTACCATTGCAGCCAAAGAGAAACTAAAGCTGCATTTTCACGTTAAAGGTAACCTAACATTTACAGTCACCTCCCCTGTGCCGTAGCAGGGTGGACAAGCATAATGTTTTCTTATCGTTGGAGCCAGAGGCAGCCTCGGTTTTGGAGTGGGAGAATGCGATCAATAGTGAAATAATTGGAACCCAGAGATCACTGACAACTTATTATAGAAACATTTAAAAGAAAGGTTGGATTGGAAGCCAAAAGATAGCTCTGATGGACTCAGAATGAGGGGATCCGGCCAGTGTGACTGGGAGATGGGTCAGTTCCTACAGTTTGGGAGGCCGGTCCTAAATGACCAGAGGCGCAGAGAACCTCCGGGGAAGCCCAGAAGCTAGGAGGAGCATAGGTCTAAACCCTTCTCTTCCCGCAGCTGATAGCCTCAGTGGTCGATCGCCCTAACTTTTGCAGCAAACCATCCCTGCCATAACCATCCCTGCCAGAACTTGGTGAAAACTTCGGCGCGCTCCTCAGCCAAAGAATGTGGTATGCCATTTTTCAGCTCTACCGGGAAGACCCACGAGCCCGAGACCCTCATTTCCCTCTGTCCTCTCCTCCCTCCACCCCCACCCCGTACTGACCAGCTCCTTCTTCCTTTTCTCCTCTTTCACGTCGGTCTTCTTGATCTCCGCCTTGAAGGCCTCCGCCTCGCCGTTCTGGTCGTCCTTGGCCAGCAGATCCATGAGGTAGGCGATGTAGCTGGTGGCCAGGCGTAGTGTCTTGATTTTGGAGAGTTTGGTGTCGGCGGGCACGTTGGGGATGCACTCCCGCAGCTCGGCGAAGGCGCTGTTGATGCTCTGAGTCCTGCGCCGCTCCTTGCGGTTGGCGGTGCCCCGGCGCTTCACCGGGCGAGGCCCCCCCAGGCCCGGAGGCCCCGCACCGGGCGGCACTCCCCCATAATGGGAGTGGTCCAGGCCGGCGGCGCCGCTGGCATACTCAGGGCTGTAGGACAGGGCCATGCTGTAGTCGGGGGGCGACATCTCCGGGTGGCCAATAAGCCAGCCGTGGAAGTAGGGGTTCTCCTCGTGGCTGCAGCGGCTGGCGGCGGCGGCGGCGGCGGCGGCGGCGGCGGCAGCGAACGGGTAGCCCTCATGGTGCACCACGGGGTGGTGGGGAAAGCCCCCCACCAGACTCATCTCGCCTTCCGTGGCCCTCCACGCGCCCCAGCGTGCGCGCAGCCCCGCCGCGCCCTCCGCCCGGGCCCCGGCCTCGACGATCGGCGGCCTCCCCCACCCCCCAACCCCCAGCCCCCGGGCTCCCGGGCCGGCCCGGCAGCCGCAGAGGGGGCCGCTGCAGCCCGGGGCCCTCGCCTGGCCCGCAGGGCCCGCCTCAGCTGCGCCGCGGCCGCCGGCTCCCCATGGGGCGCGGCGAGCTGGTCCCGGCACCGTGCGCCCCTGCCCGCCGCCGCCGCCGCCGCCGCCTGCCCGACTCTACAGCCCGCGCGCCGGCTCCCGCTTTCCCCGCTGCAGCGTCAAGGCAGAGCGCTCCGGTGCTCATGCAAAAGTGCCGGCCGGCCGGCTCCCGCGAGGTTGTCCGGCAGACGCCGGGGCACGGGACTCCTGACTCCGAAGCTGACCTGGAATCCGGGGCGAGTCTGAGCCGGGGCTGGAGGAGCCGGCCCGGCTGTGCCGGGAGGCGGCGGGGTCGCTGCTCGGCGTGGAGCTACCTCGGTGCGACCCTCCCCTTCCCGCCCCTTCCCTCCCCCACCAGCCCGATCTGGGTTCTTGGGCGCTTATTGTTTTAATAAAATTTTTGGTTGTTTTGGTCCTTGGGTGTGATTTGTTTTTAAAGCCTCGAGTAACGTGTCGGTCCTCGCTTCTCTCAGGCTCTCTCGGAGGCTTTGCAGAGAGGTCTCAGCGCATCCATTTTCTAAGATCCTCTCCTCTCGCGACAAGAATCTGGGGCCCCTGAAGGCGCCTCGGAGCTGGGAAGCGGCGACTGGGCTCTCGGAGGGGTGTGCACAGTGGCCAGTGGGAGCTCCCGGGTGGCAGCGGCGGTTCTCCTGGGCTGGACGCGGTGAGGGGAGCAAGCCGATTTTCCCAGCAAGATCTCCATGTACAGCTACATCTTTAGGGCAGCTCGGGTTAATATATGTCGTCAGAGGCTCCTCACGCCAATCCCGGGGCAGCGGGGGCGGCGCCTCGCGCTCTCCGCAATAAAACTTTTTGATGTTCGCGTTGCTAATTGCCGAGGTCCTCTTCTAGGATTGGTTGTCCACTCATAACCATAAGATAATTAAAACAAGGGGGGGCAGGGTTAAAAAAAAACCCTTTTTATCAGCCATAGGTTAATGCAAGTGTTTAACAGATGCTTCGTTATTAAAATATCCCCCTCCCCCCTCCTCCCGCCATGGAAGAATCTCAAACCAGGTACCGTATTATCTCACTTTCTTTTCTGGTTCCTGGGGTGGGATGAAGAGGAGAAGGAACGCAGATACTGCTTTTTTCAAGTGTGTGTGTGAGTGTGTGTGTGTGTGTGTGCGTGCTTTGTAGGTAACTGAGGCACAAAACTGAGCAGGCAGCCTCCTGTAGTTTTGTGCTGGACCGGGAGGTGGGGGCGGTATAGTGGACCTGGAGGCGGCAGTCGGGATCCCGATTAAGGTGCGGTTGGGAGCAACCGGATCTGTTTGATCAGGCTGGTACCCAGCACTCGCTCCTTTGAGCCGGCATACGTTGGAGAGATTTCAGTGATTCTAATGACCCAGGTTCTAGTGACAACTTGCAGAGACGGTGGATGGGAACTTCAGTTTGAAAATGCACCCAATTTGCATATTCTTCTGGTGCAGCAACCCCAACAGAGACTTTGGAGGTTTTCAAAATGGGGCACCTCGATTTCTCGAATCTGTGGTGTGGCGAGTACCCGTGTTCCGCTGGTTTAACTAGCCTGTTTGGTAAGTAACTGAATAGTTTTTACAGCGTGTTCGGAGCTTATTTTCTAGTTTTTATGAACAAACATATAAATATATCTCTGCATTCCTGCCTCCCCCATAAAAGCGGGCATCTGTAGAAAGCAGGTTTAGTTATCGGAGGGGAGCCATTAAACGGCTGTTTAAGAGGCAGGCAGGGAGGACGGCTCGTGGATGTTTAGACTGCTTGCCTTGGCGATCTTGAATGCATTAGAACGGAAAATGGATCTCTACTTGTAAGTGAGCCGGCCTCAGGGCACCCAGGCAGACCCCTAGCAGCGCGGGTGGAAGAAGCTGAGATTACCCTGCGGCCTTGGCCGAGGACGCCCAGAAAGGCCAAGCGTGTGCGAAGATTCCTTCTGCTCACCCGCTTGATGGAGGTCGGTGTACAACAGGGTGTGCAACAGAAGGCTGTAAATTCGATCAAGTCGAGGGCTGGCCTTGGACTAGTCAAGCAGAGGGCACATCAGTGACTCCACCTTGGGCATCGCTCTTTGGAGGCAGGAGCAGTCTGCTTCCAGACATGAAAAGAGAACCCCAGCCATGGACGGTCCTTGCCCCCGAGCCTGGCTGACTATGGTTCTGTGTGGAAGGCCAGATCGGCAGGAATTGGAGGGCGCCCAACTGGTTGCTCCCATGGTCTCCTGGCTGAGACCTAGCTGGCTACTGCACTGTGGTTGTCTCAAAGGGTTTTAAAATATAAATGTATGTAGCGGGGAACTCGAAGACTGTGGCCTTTATTCTGTCCATAGGGGACAGTTTCCCTCGCCAGCCCCCAGTAGAGGTCCTAAGACAGAGAGCAAATCCTGGATGGGAAATGGATGCATCCCGTCTTGCTGGTTAGCCTAGAGGCTTGCCCTTGGTATCAGAACAAAATAATGACTTACATATAGTTCTACTTCCCAGCGTGAGTGGGTCTGTAGTTTGGGGTACAAGGAGAGTTTTCTAAAGAACCACTTCTTCAAGGGAAGAATAGGGGTAGTGTGGCGGAGGACTCTGTTTACATTTACACCAGGAGGGTACCCTGAACCAGTAAATACTGGTAGTTCAATCCTCTGACATTTGATACACTTTTAAAAAACGTCTGTTTATAAAAACATGTAGGCCTTGGGAACAGGTAGACTAAGTAAAATGACTGCACTGTGGCCAGCAACAGATAAAAATAAAATTAGGGGAGGGAATATCTTTGCTGCCTCAGGAAATCAACTTTTAGGGGGTTGGAAGATTAGAAGAAGAATTCAGAGAAAGATAGGGCTAGGAACGGATAAGCTGTTTGTTCCCCAGTGCCACCTCCCAAGCTAGGGACCAGAATTTGCTGCTTTTAGCCCCTTTTCATGCGTCTTAAATGGAAACCAATGACAACAACCACAAAAAGTGGGGGTATGGCTGCATGGCTCCAGATAGCATTGTCACAAGTGATAAAAGCAATGGACAGCATGGGGCCCTAAAAGAGGCTAATCTCATCATCTTTCCTCACTGACAGCACCATCATCGGTTACGTACTACAATTTGAAGCTCCATGTATCTCAGAAAGCCAAACCCAGAGACTAGAGCCTTAAAAAGGCAGTCTGGAGGTAGCTGGAGAGAGGGACAAGCCGGTGAGTTTTAGTGGCATCTCCCATTTAGAAGCTGGCTGACTAACTAACCAAGCTGTGTCCTTAATGGCTCTGCTCCCCTTCTCCTTTTAGTATCTTCTGACACACTTTATTTCAGGAATCTTGGGTTAGCTTGCTGCTTTGGAGAACTACCAAGCTAAGACGTTATTTTAAATTCATCCCTGCGTTCTGTGGCCTGCCCCCACGCAGGGGCGGGTGGTTCTAAGAGAGCTAACAGTGAGACCAGGGGGAGATTGACAGGGTTCCTCAGGGAGAAGGTGGGAGAAGGCAGGTGTATAGTCATCAGCTTCAATGTCAGCTTGCTCCCTCACTCTTGGCCTGTTCTAGAAAGGCCTCTGGTGAACTTTACTCCGTTAGGGTACACATTTAGCATCCCCAAAGACCAAGGAACTGTGATGATGCTTGTTGTGGGCCATTCTGGGTGCCCAGGAGGAACCCCCACAGAGGGTCATCTCTCTCCTGGGAGGCTGAGGGCTGAGTGGTCCTGGGTCTGCACACTATCACAGGAAGGCAGTCCAGGTTCAGGGTGGTGTTGGAGATTCTGTGTTCATAGTCTTCTCTGACACTGTGCTGCGACAGTGTAGCCACAGTGTTATACTCTACATCTTCTTTCAGCCAGACAAACAAGGCTGGTTTCAAACATTTATTTTGTGCCCATGTCACTTGTCTCTTCCCTGTTCCGACCATTTTCTTTCTCTGGAAAAAAAATCAAAGAGCAAGAAAAAGGCTGGGGAACCCCCTTGCAAACATTTTTGCCCCTGTGAGATATTACTTTTAAGCTCTGTTTAAACTAAATATATATTTTTAAAACTTCAGTGTCTTTTTAGGGGAAATACACATCTTTTCAATGCATTTATTGTTTCAAAGGCAAAGGCAATTTTGTGTCTTGTGCTTTGCTCATGAGTACTCAAAATAAACTGGGTCTGAGAAGAACCAGGCCAGAGGCCATACACACACATTTGATATTTGCAGGAATTATGGCTCAATTCCCTTCATCATCTTTCAAGCCCCCTCGTACCTTCCTTTCCTAACTAAAGCAGTACAGGATTGATTGCGGACATTCCTTTAGACATCTATGACAAGGTGAACTCCAGAACGTGCTAAGAACCCAAAAGGAATACCAAATCCAGAAGGCTACAGGAGAATGAATCTGCTATTAAAGACATAACCTCTGCCTCACCTGCTCCCCAAAAACTGCTTCTGTCACACTCTGCAGGCCTTTTCTCTACTGGGGGGCACTGTGTCACCCTACTTGTTAGCCACTTAGTCCCACCGTGTTTTAGGACATCCAGAACAAGGCCTACCGGCTGAGTGGCAGCAAAGGTCTCCCTCTGATAGGGCTTTCCTCTTTTCCTTTTGTGGTAGTTGTCTACAGGCAACCATGTTTCAAAGTAGACACCCACAAAGTAGGGACTAGACACCCACAAAGTAGGGACTATAGTCGATTGAACTTTTATGTTTGCTTCAAAAAAGCAAGGGCAGGAGAAGGTGCCCTTGACTCTCATGTGGTTTTCTTTTCTTCTGAACAATTTCTTCTTGGATTTTGGGGGAGGTGGAGCATTTGGGGAGTAGACCCCCTTCCTAGCAGTTCTCCATTTGAAACAGATCTTTGCAGATGGAAGAGGGAGGGGCTGGTTCAAAGGCAGGGGCGACTATGAAGGGGGTGATTTTAAGACATGAACTCTTCTCTTCAGTTGTGCCTAGCAAACAGTAAAGCCAGGACTTGCTAAGTGCCTGGACATTTCTCCCTGCATTTTTCTTCTCCTTTCTCCTCTCCCTTGTCCTTCCTTCTTCCCCTACAATTTATCCCCCACAAGAGTTGGGGTTTGTACATTGCTTGCCCTGTCACTGAACATGAGACTTGTGGAAGAATGAGGCACTAGTTTATCCTTAAGTTCTTTATGCCCTACTATCCATTATGGGCAACAGTAGAGCTTCCATTTTCTTCAGCAACCCATGACTACATTCCTGCATTAACTGGAAGAAATGTTGCTTCTGTGGAGAGTTCTCACTGATGAAGAAGGATTTGGTACTTTGGCAGGTATCCGTAAATTAAAAATACTCATTCAGGCTAAAGGCTACATAAAATGTGCTGTGAACAGGCATTGCAAAGGATAGTATTATATATAATAACATTATATATAACATGGACTGTTATTATAATAGTCTCAAGAAGTATGATAAATCTGATCTTTGCCACTTTGTAGTAAAATATTGGGTTTAAAATAAAAATGTCATAGACAATACATCCCTCAGGATTTATACAACATACTCGAAGAACTGCATACACAGAAATATTTCAGATGTGGGCATATATTTGAGAGGTAGACCCTGGCTCTCACTCCTAGCACTTAAAACAACAACAATAACAACAAAGCACGACAACACAGCACAATGATAAACTAAAAATGAAGTATACAGAGAATTGTTTTCTTCCAAGCTGTAAGGAAACCATTCTGAATTCAGATGAGAATGTGAGTGTGATTTGACATTCATGCTCTTTGGAACTAGCCAGCAATGAATTTAAGCTAGCATGCAACACAGTCTGGGCTTCAGAATAAAACAGGAAAGAGATGGCTGCTTAACACGTGGGGCTTCTGAAGCATCATTTGTGGGTCTGAAGAATTCACTTGTGATTTGAGTCCTGTTCCTTCCCAGTTCTAGCTGCCATGTTGGGGACACTCCTGGGAAGTCTCCACAATGTGGCTTCGTTTGCAGAACCACATAGATGGATTTCTTTAGCTCTGGCAGTTCCTTCCAGACCTTTTCTGCATTCTTCTGCAGTCTTTGCTTATAGACAAGGGACTTGGGCCAGGATGGTTAGGTTTCAGGTTAACAAAAAGAAACACTTTTATTGTCAATATTAATGGCAAACTTCGATTTTTACAAGCCTTGGGTTGAGCAGATCAAAAGCAGCTTGTCCTGATCTCTCAATATTCTCTGGCGCTTAGACAATTACCTGTAATTTTGGTTCTAATGAAACAATACGAGAAAGTTAGTTGCAAAGTTAGTATTTGAGTACCGATTTTTTACCTGTACATATTATGATCTAGCGATTTATTCCTTCAATGGGAGCTGAGTTTTGAAGGAGAATTCCTTTAAGAAAATATGTTTAAGCAGTGGTCCTCACTTGCAATGTCATGAGTCTTTTTCAGTGTGTGCATTCCACGGTTTTCTTTCTGGCCGGGTAAGGATCCGGCAGACTGAGGTCTTCCTGGTAATTTGGGTACACCGAGTCTCCAGTTAATGATAGATAATCAGCCCTTGGGTCATTCGGTCATTCTCTTATTACAAACCCCTCCTGCTCTCTCTGATCTCCTTTCAAACTAAATTTCACACAAACAAATAAAGCAAGACAGGGACAAATTC